CCTATGTTTCGAAGTGCCTTGACATTTTTCAGTGATACTACTAGCTGTTTGGGCTTGTTTAACAACTGACTTTGTAGCATGAACAAAGATCATATTCGCGTGTAGTATCTTCTTACAACTTCATGGTTTTTTCACGAACTGGGCATACACGACACTTATCAGGTGATATGAAAAACAATTTTGGATTGTATTGAGTTTTAGCTCATATTTGTAGGTTGGTAGTTGGCAGATGTATATTGAAATAGTGAGTATCTACCATGATGGTGCAACCTTCTGTTTGACATCCGTGAAATCAAGTATTAAGTCTTGTCATTTGGTGTAAACGAACTCATCACGGATCAAAGCTGTTTCATATTAGATCCATTTTGTTGTCAAGCTTTTGGACAAAATAAGAAACATGAACACTAGGTAACTAACTGTTCTGTATTGGTTAGCACTTTAATAATGATAGATCGACCTCGTTTTTTGAAACCACACTAAGACTGAATATATCCGTAGAGTGATACTACGAAGTTATAAAACATTTTCTATTTGGAGGTATGTAGGATATCTGTTAATTGTTCGAGTGTCTTTACTATATAAGAAAGGAAATCATAGAAGGCGTGCGAGCACTGTTTCATAATGATATGGGCTTTCTTCAGCGGCGTGAACCAATGAACGTTTGACAGACAAGACTCGAGACCATAAGGATCCAGCACCAGTATGTTAACATTGAGACACTTTAAATCTGCCTAGGCAAACATAAAGATGAACGAATCAAAGACGCAGGTATTAAGGAGAATACAATCATTCTAGCTAACCCTACTAGTAACTAGGAGAGGAACAAGCGGATTCAAACTAGAATCTTAATTCAAAAATGAAGGTGTTTTACTTTAGCAGTTTATGATTGTGTTTATTTCTATAGCATAGACAATACTGCAAAAAAAGCAAGCAAATGTTACTGCAACACGACGGAGTTTCAGCAATATCAGTAGCATATTCGAAGTCGCTTCAAACCACTTCAACGATATTCTATCGGTTGAAAGTGGGTATTTCACCTATTTTATTTGACATTTTTGGCAGACACTTAACAAAAAAGGCGAATTTTTAGTTTGTCAGTTCACTATTCATTATTTTAAAGTTGTTTAGCACACGTTCGCCATTTCCATCAGATGCTATTCAAGTTATAGCTCGACAAAGTACCGGAAGAATAGTAGCTATAGTAGTTTGAGAATTCGTCACTTATTCATAGTTTTTCCGTCAGGAATTTGTGAAGTGAAAACCTGGTATGCATCATTGTAACTAGAAGTTTTGACACTATGAAAAGTCCCTACGATGAATATAATGTATTGTATTCATATGCGTCAAAATTCAAAAGTTGATTCTAACACTGACAGTCTAAAGTGGAAGATGTCAAACAGTCCAAGGAAAACGTTCTTTGCATAAATGATGACACTGGAATTCTCCAATCACCCAAGGATTTGTAGCAACTTGAAGGACAAACTTTTGCATTCGATCACTTCTATGTTCTGTATCTACTCACCAGCTCTTATGGAATCAGGTTTGTAGGTCATCCAACGCCACTGTTATCGTAGTGGGTTCAGAAGGAGTAAACCGGGTGATTGCAAAGAGGCTACTGTAGATCAAGAAGAAATGCCATAATTAAACAGGTTGTGAACACTGGTCATCTTATCTCAATAAGCCCCTCATTCAAGTAAATGGTTAGCATTCTCTGAATTTCTAGATGATACGGAAATATATCTTTATTGGTGTCATGGAAACAGCACTGATCGACACATATGCACTAACCGAAGTAAACTTCTCTTCCTTCTTGTCCTTCTCAGAAGGATATCTTATTCTATCGTCGACTGCAAACCATCTGATGACTTTCAGACGGCTAGCTGTGCCGAGAAATCAATCTGATTCACACCTGCAAGTGCATCAGTGTGAATAAATGTGAAGCTGACGGTTGATTACCATAGTTAGTCAAGCTGCGTTTGACCTCCGGAATAACTGGGATAGTGCATGTTCAACTAAGACGTAGTAGATACTCGAATATAATCGGAAATAAAGGGAATAACTTCTTCAATTACTTTATCGCATGATAATTCCATGAATAATCGACATATAACCAGTATTCGCAGATGTTTGATGTCTTAAAATATTTACGAACAGCATAATCACTTGTGAACCATAGTCAATTTCCTTCTTTACGCATTGTAGCTTACCGAACTAACGAGCACTCAGTTGTAAGCATATATCAACCAATATAATCTTAGGAATTTTCAAACTTTTATAATAGTTTTCACTCATTTTCATGAGAGTTTACATCAGGTCAATCGTTTGATACATTTCAACTTTGTCATGCGATGAAAAGCACTGCTCAGCATTCCACACATGATCAAAAGCACTAGCAAAATGGGTGTATTTAACTATGGTGGAGTAATATCCCTAGCGTAAACCAATCGATTCGCGTAGACAATAGAAATATGAAAGTGATGAATTATCGTGAATAATGAGCCAGATTGATGTACTGAAATGCTTAAGTTTACACGTGATAACCTCACCACTTGCTTTGGTAGTAATGAAATAGGCGGCAATTGCTTACAAAATAAAAGTCGTGCTGCTTCGCGAAACTGATAGGCAATTCGGGACAAAATTGTTGTAGAATTGTGCAGAAAGTCTCCTATGCTAGTGAGGTTTCGGTTTTTGACAGTGTTCTTATTTTTGGCTTTTGGGACCAAACGGGAAAGGCTCCATAGTTGAGACCGTCATCTACTATTTTCATTTGACACCTCCAGTTAGTTCTTCTTCTTGGATCTTACTGCCTGTCACTCATCAATAAATACGATTTCTAATTTACCTTCAAGTCTATTTCAGCTGCAAAACTCAGTGTCACAGTGAACTATCTAACTATTTGGTTCCTTTATCTTATAAGTCGTCGTTACTTCTTGTTATTACTAACTTAACAACTGAAGGTAACTTGAAAGTACCGCATTCGCTTTATTTACTTTGAAAGCATGCTCAATACGCGGTTCCTTCATCTACTCGTATATCCTATGGGATGCACTTCGATGAAACTCAGTCTAAGGTCAACCGTAGCATATAAATCACACTTGCATGTAAAAACATAATTATCTTCCCCAGCCAAAGTCAAGTACCAGACAAATTAACTAATAAATGTGTTTCTGTTTACTATCTCAGCACACTTTGGTGTAAGTTGATTACAACCTGAGTTTTGGCTGTCAGTGAAATCAGCATCTTCAGAGTGTGATTGTGAGTACTGCAACAAAATACTATTTGTTAGAACTTATCCACATAACCGGCATCAAGAGCCCCTTACCGCGCTTCAGCCTATATATCTTCTCTATTGCTGAAAAGTAAAGTTATATCACTGATTGTTTCTTTGCACGTTCCTCTAGGACACTTTTTCTGGTTAACCAATTTTCCTTTCTTGTTTTCATTCTCTTTTACTTTCTTTAAATTGTGTCCAATCACAAGTTATCTGAAGGCTGAGTGACACGACTTTCAGAGATGTGTAGATCCCCAAGAAAACCTAAAAGCTGACGAGCATCTTCCAAGCAGTGTGCTTCAGTATCCTTATTTTGACACTGAAATCTTCATAAGTTTACAAGTAAGGGATTACTTCAACGTTCGATAGGTATTTGAGTTTCATGTAGTTGAAGGTGTATTCTATTGTGTATTACAGACAGTTTACCATCTAGTATTACTGTAGTTTGGGTTTGTACATTGTTTTTCTCTTATCTTTCTTCAATATTTAACTTACATTTTCCTGCTACAGCTATTATTATTATTATTACTCGTCCCTTGGGTTCCTAATGGAACATAGAGCTTCACTAGCACGTCTCCAATGAGCTCTGTTCTCTGAAATCTTTGAACCTGGCTCCACGATAGCCCACAAGCTCTCATTTCCTCCTATCACCATCTCCTCTATATCACCCTCAGCAGTTGGCACGCCCAACTCGTCGCTTCCCATTGAGGTTCTACTCGAGGGTCTGACGCAGCTAGACCCAAGAAATTGATGCTTACTGTCGAGACTTCCTAAAGATACCATACGAAGTTTTTATTCTCGTACGTATTCATTCATATTGAAGGTGAATTTATTTTCAAATATTTATCCTGAATTTCAAATCCTCATATATTTCTGCATGTATAAAGTGTGTTATGTCATCATTATTACTGATATTTCATTTCACCTGTAGGCTATTTACTTCTAAGAAAAGGTTATGAAATCAAATAATTACATTTCTTGCTGCAAGCATCTTTTTTAAGGGAACGAAATATGTTGAATTCCTATTTGCATAGGTGTGAGTTATAGTAATGCACAGTTGATGTTGTATTGATGAACATTGAATAACTGTGGGCTAAGTGGTCACACGTTAACAGTAAAGAATTACGTAATACTAAGAAGATGGTGATATATTTAGACTGATCACAGATGAGCTGAATATATTAGACAATCCCCTTTTAAATACCATTATACTTCATTTGGTTAAAAAATGAAATTGAACAAATTCAAAGTTTGATGATCAAATGGACAATGGCCGACGGGTTTTCAAACTTATTCTCAACAGAAACATTCTGTTTACAAATTTAGATATCATTCACTTTAGGAAAAGTATTGACCAAATATACGAACACTGAATCAGTTTATACAGATAAATGAGCGTAGAACAGTTAGAAAAGGTAAGTTTATCCGAACACACTACACCTATCACCGGTTGATTGTGTAAGGATGGGATTACATTATAACACAGCACAAAGTTCTACTTGTTAGACTTCTTAAAAAAGCATTACGTTTGTTGTATTGAATTCATTTATTTAGTATAAAAAAACATTTAGTGATACTGTTTACTAATTATAAAACTGCAACACCAATCATACTTATTATAAATCAGTTATTAGCAAAAAAGATTAAGTTACATTCCACTTCTTCGCTTTTCCCTTTTCAATTTCCAAATTAATTCTTGAAATGTGCGAAGTAGTGCATCAATTGATCTTTATTCTTCTGAAAAAGAAAAATTGGATATTTAGGTCACGTTTGCTAAGCCATGAACATGAACATGAATAATCAAGAATATTTTTTATAACCTTCAGAATGCTTGCAGATGATGTTTATAGTTGTGAAAATATTAACATTGTTCTTGGTTGTACTGTGTTCTCTGAGCAGGGTTGTTTAATCATGATGCTTTCATCATCTTCCTAGACGATATATTGAAGTTAATGCTGATACTGTCGTCTAGAAAGACTATGAAAGCTTCACAACTAAACAACTCAGCTGAGAGAACACAATACAGGCAAGACCATCCACCTGAGCTACAAATATTCTCCACGATTTCAATATTACCTATATGACTGCTTATTTTGATTTCTGATTGACATGGATTTTGAGCATAGAAGTTATTTGTTTCTTCATAAGAATGTTTATCTTGAAGCAAATTTTATCAGTTAGTAACAGAATATAGTGCATTTCTCGGTAGTATTCAATACGGATTGACGTCAAGTGAACAAACATTGTTAACCGAAGAAAACCAGACCGCTGTTTTATCGTTGTATGGAACTCCAGAACAATTATGAATCTGCATTACTTTGTCAAGTATCTTATCATTCATTGATTTCAAATTAGCTGCCCCTTAATGAAATGCCTTGCGATCTTCAGGAATGAAAATAAGTCTACACCGTGAAGAATTCTACAATTCACCTGTAAGTGCTAGATAATTTCACAGTAACGATTTTGTGCATTTACAGTAGAGGAAAAAATGGAGTGAATTTGTGTGCGGTAGAGTTCTGAGACGCTGTGGTGTTCAATATGGTCAACACCGAATCTCTGTTGTCTCGCGGTCGATCAGCTTTTCTATTAGAAAGATATAACATTTGCTTGAAGGTCATTATTATCATTTTCCCTTCGGTTCCCAGTGAAACAAAGAGCTTTAGAAGCACGTCTCCAATGGCTCTGTTCTCTGAAATCTTTTGAACCTGCCTCCACAATAGCCCACAGGCTCTCATTCCCCCCTAGCACCATCTCCTCCATGTCACCCTCAGCAGCTGGCACGCCCAACTCATCGCCTCCCATCGGATTACACTCAAGTGCCTGGCCTGATGCGTGATGTCCACAGTCGGTCTTCTCAGTAGTGTATGCCCAATCAATCTCCACTTCCTTCTGAATATTGGTTGAGCGATAGGTTCTTTGTTGGTTCGCTGCACAGCCAGAGTCCCTTGTTGCTTATTCTTATTATTCTGGCCATCTGAGCATCAGTAACGAGCCAGCGTAGGCGGCAGTTGTTGATCAATGTCTGTAGTTTGTTGGAAATCCCTTCCGTAACGCGTCACGTCTCTCAACCACCACATAGAAGCACTGACTTGACTGGCATTGGTGTTGAAAATCCGGATCTTGTTCTTTGTGCTGAGTGCAGTGGAGTGGATCTCCACACTGGTTTCAGGCTAATGAAAGTCTGTCTTGCTGTCTTTTCGACCGTAGCTTTGACATCCTCATCTGCGCTTGTCCTGCCTGTAGTTGAGACGACGCTACCTTACCTAGGTCTTTCTTCCTCCCTTCATCCCTTCCTTCCTTCCTTCCCCTTTTCCTTGCAAACTTTGTGCAGTAGTGGTGTGAGCATGTCCGCTGTTGTGTCTGTGTCTGTTTTCAGTGCTTCTAGTTGAATCCCATCTAGTCCTGCTGCTTTACCAGGTTTCAGTAGATTTATGGCATTCAAGACTTCTACTTTCGTCGGATGGCCTGTGTTCACTGGTAGTTCTGTGTTTGAGCTGGTGGTGGTATTTCTGGACGAGTTGCAGATGGTGGTGGTGTTCGATTCAAGAGTTTTCTGAAGTGGTCAACCCATCGTTTCATTTGTTTCACCACTTTGGCAACTAGCGTTCCCTCACTGTTTTTCATTGGTTTCGTCTACGCTGATATCTCCCGTCCGAGATAGTAACCTGGTTATTTGATATGGTGTTGTCAAGTCTCTCCTACCTGCAACCTGTTCTGCTTCACTTGGAAGTGTGTCGTAGGTGTCTTTTGTCTTTCCGTGCACTCTTCTTCACTTCTTTGTCCAGAGTTTTGTACGTTGTACTCAGCTGTTCTTATCATTGTTCATCCCCGCACTGCACTGGTTCATCTTCTGCTTCACCATCTTCCTCTCCCTCCTCTATCAGCTTCCATATGTCCATCGAGATCCATTCCTTGTCCCATTTCTTCTTTCTTCATAGTCTGGTTATGCAGGTCTCTTCCCACATAGCTTTCCAAGGGTTCCAGTGTTCTTCCACACAGGTTCCTTCAGGATGTTGCTCAATGTCCCCATTTTGTTCTAATGACTGATGTGATGACGGCCTTTGAAGTTTAGTCCTTCAGTTCAGTTTCTGTTGTGAGTGGTTGTTGAACTTCAACTGTGGTCTATCACCAACTTGCTTGAAGGCTTTCAAGTTGATTTTGAAGGTAAGTTCCTTGCACTAGATAGTGAGTGGTCTGAACCCACATCTGCTCACCTTCTCGATCTGATCTTGTGTCCAGTAGGCTGCGTCTCCACTTTCTTCACTTTGAAATGAAGTCGATCTGATTTTTAGTGTAGTGTGTCCCGTTGTTTGGTGAAATCAAATCCACATCACCGCATAATGAATATCTTTGTGTTTGTGCACACTTCTTGACTCCAATCACCAAATCGTTGAATGCACAGAGCCTGCAAACAGTTTTCCATCCTCGTTCATTTCACCCAGCACTTCTCAACCCATGATGAGTTCTCTTCGTGTGTTGTCCGCTCCCAGTTTGGCATTCATGTCACCCCAACCATTAGAATTTTGATGCCACCATCTGGGTCGGTGTCCTGTCCATTACTGATTGCAGTTGTCTGCAGAATTACCCTTCTTCTCTTCATCTGCATTATTTGTATGTGCATAGTGTGGCATTGTATGATTTTGACTTTCCTTCTTTTTGATTTGAATCTTGCTATGATGATCATGGAGGAGGAGATTGACTCCAACTGCATGAGAGCCTTCGATGCTCTTGGGGACATCACGATAGCCACTTGAAAACTCAGTGTGTTTGTGTTTGTCGTTTGAGTGACCGTGGTAGATCATTAAATTTCCAGTGGACAGTTAGGAGAGTTGACGTCCATTCCATATCTCCTCATCTTTTTAGCAGTCTCGGCTTTAGCCTTGCGGGGCTCATTCATGGTGCGGACATTCTATGTCCTCTTCCTTACTTTCGGATTCATCAATATGACGCATCGGTTCTCAACAACCGGCGTCATCTCACCGTTCCGATTCCAGCTAGGAATAAGTTTGTTTTTATTTTTTATATTTTCTTCGTTCTTTAAAGTTTCTGTACCGATTGGATTGGTTTTATGGGGTAGGGTCGCTAGCCCTACGCCCAATCTTCCCTCTTACCCGGGCTTAGGACCGGTTAGTAACTAGTGAACTAATTAACCACGCGAGGTAGCTTGGAGGTGGTACAATTGAATAATTATATTAGCAGGTGTCTAGTAACAGTTATGTGAGATTTCTCAGGAGTTAGCTTTTGAAGCTGTGAAACTGCAAGGATATATATATATGCATACATATTTACAAATTCAGATATTTGTAGTCAGATTTTCACTGCACCGCTCTTGTCGCTCAACTATACAAATTGGTCAAGTAAAAAATTACATTTTCATGCACTCTGTACATTATACATTATTACAGGTATATATCAGCTTACTTTCATGAATACAACTAGTCGGTTGCAAGAAGCATCAAGCTCTAAAATTTGAACATTATGATTATTTATTTAAAAGTCTTAGTGAGATATAACATGTTGATTTGTATCGAGTAGACACTAAGTTATCCAATGTACAAGTAATGCAATGCCAGAGTAGTTGGTTAGAAAAATATGCTATTCACAAGTAGGGAAAGATGATAAAAAAAATATCTGAAAAAACATAGCCAGATAACATATTTTGGCTGTTCTTGTAGTCACAGGCCGTCTTTGTCTTCTGGTTTCTTCATGGCTCAATGAAGCAGAAGGTACTAAGGGAGGTCAATCGTATTTGGTTGAGACGTCTATTGAGTCTCAGTATTATTACACCCACGCAACTCCACCACTTGGTCACAACATTCTCCCTTTATTTAAAGGTAAACAGTTGTTTAGGATTTGTCCTGGTGCGAACTTGACAGACGCAAAGACCAATCACTAATTATTCGAACTTGTTATATACCCACGAATACGAGACCAAGGAAGAACACGATAGCGTAGTCGGATGGAATAGTATATTTGGATGGTTATGCCAAAATACCGATGCGTTCCAACTAACTGGCTAGAGAGTCGAATACGAGCAATGCAACGTAACACGACAGCGTGCCAAATGGCGAGGATGCTTGACCGGATGCCTTCAGCTTAGCGAGTCCAGTTAAACTATCAAGGTCAGCATCAATGTCGAAGTCGTCAAACCCTAGGCTATTGATTTTGGGGAAGTGTATGACGCTACAGATCACTCCCCCCCTAGTGGGTTCGTGAGGACCCTAAGACGATACCAGCCGGAAGTAAAAACCCAGTGGTTTCTCCACTGGTAAAACTCTCCGATGGGCTCACTGCGTGAGGTGGCCCCTGGTTGTCTGAACCTTATTCTAGGGTGTCGTGGCGATTAAATAAATAAAATACAATAAATGAAATTGTACGTCGGTCGCGGTCATCTGTTCCTTTCGACGTTCCGTCCAGTGCTCGTTGCACCTGGAATATAAATAAAAGTCTTTAATACCACGAAAACGTTGCGTAAAAATGGGAATTATTTATATATAAACGTGTCGAAAAAGAAAAATTTACGCTTATCTTCGCCGTTTTTTTAGTTTTTATTACATGGTAAATAAAAATTGATATAAAAAGGCAAAGTGTACGAGGGTTTGTGCCGGTAAATAAGAAAAATAGTGCCTCGAAAAAAATGGTTGGCACACACATAGCTAAGTTGAATATGACTTCAGGTACTCTGGGAACCTGACGGTTCGACCTGATCGTGTTTTTTGTTGCGCCGCTGGTTGTTG